AAGCTTTTCACACTGGCAAGCTCTTCTCCAAAGAGATGCTAATGTATGGTATTAGTATATTTGATACCAGTATGTGCTGTCTGTTTGGCTTAAGGGAGCATGTAGCCGTATTACAGTAGGCTAGGTCCACAACAATGATTAATTACTGATAGATCTTCTCTGATTAGTTCTTATGAAAGACAGTCTTAAAAATTATATGTATATACTCTTTATTTCTTCCATCTCTGTGTGAAACTCTCCTGTCCTTCAGTCTATTTTTTTAATTTAAATTCCATTCATATTTTGTTTAAAACTAATGTCTCTTGCTGTCTTTGCTCCCAATCCCATATAGAAATCTCCCTTTTCGTGTACAACGTGGCTCATCATAACTACACGTTTAGGGCTTGGCCCTGTCATCGTCCTGACTGCAGCCTGGAGGGCACAGTAACACTGTGCTGCAGAAGATTCCCAGTGGACATAGTTTATATAGCTAGGTTACTTCTGGTCTGCATCAGAGTGCTATTCAGATTGTACTTTTCCCAGTGCATTAGCAAACAGCCTATGGCCTTTTCCCACCTATTTCAAATTATTTCATATGCCAGATCAGAAAAAGCATGGAGCTGTTGTACAGACACTGCTCAGGTACCATACGGTTTATCCAAGTATATTTAGGTGACTTGTAGTAGGAAAAGCTTCTTTAGTTCCATTTAGCCTGTGACATTTTTACTCCAGGACAGCTGCTTATATGTTTCATTCCTATCTCAAGATCTGGCTTGGATGATCTGTAGGTAGATATACACAGTAAGCATTTTAGGAGCCTGACATGGTAACCTTCCTGCCTGAGAATATGCACTGAACGCTAATCTCTAATTTAAACTTTATAATTTTCCTGATGTTTAAGAGAAATTGTCATGACCTGGATTCTGTAATTATTTCAAAGACAAACCACATGATTTCTACCTCAGACATTAGATGTAAGAATAAATCTTTTTAATTAAAATAAAGTTTACTGTATCAAACAGACCTGGTGTGCATTTGCTGAGATGGTCACCTATTCCAGAAATTTGCTTAGGCACTTATTTCGGAACAAAGGATTAAATAGATTATGGAACAGATACATGATTCTACTACTGTTTTAATGATTTTCTGTTCACTGTGGTGGAAAATACCTGTAAACCTTTCTGAAGTCACATTCTGCATGTAACTGCAGCATTTTGACTCCTGCACTTTTTATCTATTTCATTAGATCAATGAAGCATTTTTACTGCCTGGCTCTTCATGTCACAGCAGTGCCCTGTTTCTCTTTTTTCACCTAAAAATTTTACTACTTTTTTAGTCAGAAATGGCAGAAAGTCATGTCTTTTTGCGAGTATTCTGTGTTTTTCATTCTTGCTTAAGAAGTCCTGCAACTTTTCAGTAGAATGAGGGGTTTGGCTCTGCTCCCAGCATCCATACAATATCCCATTCCATTAATCTGATTTCCAAACTTGGAAATTTTTCATCAATTTCATAAGCTTACAAAACTTTCTAAAATCTTTCTATCGCTGATGCTTACATTTTTTCCTAGATGCTTTTTGCTAAGTAGTTCATTAGTGGTTAGATTCAAAAGTTGTATAGCATAATGTAGATGTTAGCTGCTAACCAGAAGGAGAGGAACTGGAAGGTTATCTCCAGCACTCTCTCCAAGCTCACTTGCTCTGGCAGATCCAGAGAGAATTAAAGTAATCCCTCTCCCAAACCCTGTACCTCTGTCTAGATCTTGCTGTCTACAGAGGTATGAATATGCAAGATGAGTCCTCTGTTAATGTTCTTAAACCATTTATATAAGGAGAGAATGTTGTCAAAATTCATTATTTGAGTGTTTAAGGTCTACAGCACCTATATAATCTCTGTTGTGCTCCATAGAATTTACTGAAATTCAAATCAGTGTGGTGTTCTTCCTATCAGAAGCAGTATTTTTCAGGCCATGCTTTTATATGTTGGGTTATTTCTCCACACTTCTTTTTTTCTCAAAAATATTGCACTCTTATATTGCACCCACACCAAGTAAGGGTGTAATAAGGCAGTAAGTGAAGAGTTGTGTTCCTAAAAGACATTTGCTTTAGAAATATCTACAATAATTATCCTTCCTTTCTGTCTGTCATGTTGCTCTGCTAAATTATATGCTTATTTTATACCTATCACTTTATATTATCACTTATATTATCACATCATGCATAATAATGTAGATTATGTTGTCATATTTGTTTATTTAAGATCTATTTTAATGTTCAGAATCAGCATTTTAGAATTAAGCTTATTTACAATGAACTATGGTAAATTTGTTCTTGGATGGCATACTGCAGGTATCTCCTTAAAACTGTTTACTGTCTGAGGTGCTGAAATCTTGTTAAGAAATCCTGATCCAGATATAAGCCAGGGTTTCAGAGTCCTTGCAAGCACCATTTTGACTGGTCAGAAAGGTTGTTGGTTTTCTCTGTGTACTTTGAGTGCCATGGTCTCTCATTGACCAAAACATCAGGAATAAAATGTGCATCCATTCTCCCTGAGCAATGCAAGAGGATAAATTCAACCCTAGTATTGGTGTACAGTGTCAGTGGAATTTTGCCCATTGACACTAGGCTGAATTTGACCCTCAGAAACATGGAAGCTGCAGAAGGCAGCAGGTGTTAGTTCTGCATTGCTAAACCATCATTACAGTTTACCTTCACTAGCACAAAATCCAGCCACCCACCCTTTTATCAGTGTGATAATAAAAGGAATTAATCACCAAAGGATGATAGAATGTAGTTAATTTTTCTATTTGACTATTCTCTTGACCATAGTATGTGGGAGAAAGAAACCTATGAATCAGAATATTTGATATTTTGTATTCAGTTGTGCCTTTCTGTAAAATAGCAAGTTAAATCTAGACTGTGATTTCGGTGTAAAATGGCTAAAAAATACTTTCAATATACAAAAGGTAGGACTAAGACCTTTCTTTTTCTGAATATAGATTAATTGAATAAATAAATATAAAATACAGCTGACATTACTAATTAAATGATGGAACCCATAACCCCTTGGCTGTTGTGAATCCATTTTTATTTTAACAGCCTCATCAAAGAGAGATATACAATCATTTCTACATCCTGTATTTCACTACAGACACAGAAGGTGTCCATTTTTTTAAGGCTTTTCATTAACCCATGTAATCAAACGTCTGATCAGCTGCTGGATCAACATCATTAATTCTAGTCCACTCAAAAGTGTCTCTAGGGAAGAGAGCTCAGGATTATTTTTTTCTGAGCAGTGGTTTCTGCTTTCAGTTATTTTACTAATTCTGTTTGCCTATCGCTGTTTTGATCTTTCTTACTGTTTTGATCAGTAACTGCATCTCGTAAATGGTACTGTTGATTCTGGCATGACAGTGCTTTCTCTTACTGCTGACACTTCACAGTATTTTTTTTATTTTACATTTTAGTTGCCTAGTCATGGCCATCTTTATTCCCTGATCTTAATTGTGTGGTCTGCACTGACTAACTCCCTAATTAGACAAGGCACAACTTCTCAGGTGCTCAAGGTTTGGTGCCAATCCTCAGTTAGGGCAGACTCAGTTTACTTTAGGCTGACCACCCATCATTTAAAAGATCTCAATATTTTATTGTTTTCAACCAAATCTCAGTAAGTCTGAAGTCTTGCTGAAAAATGCTCTTTATAGGTAATATTTAATGTATGGATTATACACATTATGATGCAATGCTCAGATCCAATACAGAATTTAAAATAAGTAACCATCTCTCATACTTAAATCAACAAAAAGTAATAGAGGTATTAATAAATTTACTGTATTGATTCATGTTACATTATTTTTATTTTAGGAAATTGCTGAGATAGGAGGCCTATCAAGTGTCTCTTAGATTAATATACTACATTTTTTTAAATTATATACTTACATAATTATATAACTACATTTTACTTACTAATGAACAGAATTAGAAATGTCTTCTTTGGTTAGTTAAATGACGTCTCAGTCTTGTTTTCGTTTAAAGGCAGAAGCTAATTTTTCTTTACTTAGGGAATTGTGATCATTAAAGACATATGTCTCCTAATGTTTTGGGTCTAACAAGTTGGGAAAAGAACGTCCTATGCTGAAGCTCAGTTCAAGACAAATTTTGTGCATCCTTTGCCTTTTTTAGTTTAGTGTTTTTCAGAGCTGTTGTGACTTGCTACTAAAAAGCAATCAAATAGCAAGATTTACTGCAGGGAGACTGACAGCTGCCATTCCTACATTCAAAAGGAAAATTATTTTGCTAATTGCTTTATTTTTGGTAACTTTTAAATAGATCCACTAGGTGGTGCTTGAAATAAGCTACCCCGGTGTGACTTGCTTATGGCTGCCAAGCCCATCTCAGAAATCCAGGTGTAACTGGAGGTCATTGTGACTGAGAAATATTAACCTATATTTCATTAGTCAACACTCTAACAGGAATATTCTGGGCAACACGAATGAGATTGCTATCCAAGCACTTGGGTTCCTCCTTTTCCAGAATTGAGTTTTCTGTTTCAGAAGTAAAACAAGATGTTCACCATTATGGAGATGCACTGCTTTCCATTATTAATTTAAGTTATTCTTCACCTCTGGTACTCTCAGAATAGATAATTTTCCATTAGTATCTTTGGCATTTGAAGAAAAACTTTATTTCTAGGCTCAAAGTGATTTGGATAAAGACAAAGCTTGGAACTGCCTGAGTGATTCATCAGTCCCAAAAAAGGTTTAACTTCCAGTAAGGAATAAAGGAAGACTGTTGTGATGTTACTGCATATGGCCATGGGAAGGGGCACGAAGACCCCTATGGCCAGTTATGCAGGTATGAATTACGGACACGGTGCCAAATTCCTTGTGGAGACCAAGGCTTGTTTTCCCAAGTTATTCTTTAGCCATTTGCTGTGTAATCACTCATCCTAATGTAAACCAACTTATTTGGAGCTTTAAAAAAAACACAGCTGTCACAGACTTCTTGGTCAGCTGCACACCGGTCAGTTGCCCAATAATTCCTCTGTCTTTCAATCTGACACTGAAAGCTTCTGGCATAATTATTTGTTCCTGACATTGCTTCTCTATGAAAGAGGGTGTTAGTCCTGTCAAACTGCTGCCCAGTGCCCTGATGGGAGATCTTAAGCCCCCCAGCTGCTCGGAGAAGCTGTGACACTCTTAGTCCTCAGGTCACCTCCAGGTGCCTCTGCTTCTGCCTTGCAGGTGAAATCAGGCTTCACTCGTGTTTTCAAGGGAAGTTTCCTTCAGAAGGCATTTCTCTGTTTGCAGTTTTCTTTGCAGATTCCAGGAGAACAAACTCCTTCAACTCATGGCAAGTGGGGGATAGATGGAGAAGCAGAGGGAAGAAACATGATGAACTTGTTTCTATCCTTTTTACTTGCCTGTGCTCAGGTGCTGAGGCAGGTGGCTGAGGGCAGCTGCCTGGGCTGTACCCATGCAGTGCTTACACATGCACCACCCATTCAAGTCTTGCCTGAGAAGCAGGCTGGCAAAGGTGAGACCAATGAGAGGGCTCTGATTATTGGGGCAGGTCTAGGAGGGTTTCAGTTTTGGGGCGAGGGAGCTGAAGAATTGAAGTGGCGGAGCCCAGTGGGAAAGTCAAGGTAATACTGAGAGCTGGGCAGGAATTGGAAGTGCTGAACTAGCAGCTACTGAAGATTGGGAAAATCAAAGTAACCACAGTTGAAACAGTTTAAGAGACACAAGCCAAATTTAGAGTAAGCCAGGTTTCTGTTATTCACAGAAAAAAATGTTTAAAATTACTGTTGAGGTAGAGTATGAAGAAAAAGCATGTGTGAATTGCCAATGGAGGAAAATCTAGAGAGTTTACAATAAAAGCCGCTAAAGCATTCACATGTGAACCCGGATAATATAGACCTAGTAGCTGGTAAGTGCACCGCAGTCACATTTAATCTGTCATTTAGGTGTAGTGAAAAGTCTGTTTTGCTCATGGCCAAAGCACAAAGGCTCTTTTCACCACAAGGTTGGGAAGCAAAGTAAGGAATGTAAACTAGGATGATGTATATGAGAAGCTAATCTTTCACCTGTAGTATGTCTATATCATGCCAGGTATTTTTTGTCTATGAAGAAACAGCCTAAGGGTATTGATCTTAAAGAAAATAAAGGATCTGGATCACTGGAAAGCTATAAAGAAGAAATAAGTCAGAAACTCAGCATTTTGTGCAAAGATTATTTATAGGACATGAAAAAATAGGCTTAATTATCTGCCGTGCATCTTGGAATAATGCTAATATCCATAATCTGAAATATGCAAATTAGAAAATATTAGTGCAGCCCTCAATTAGAATGAACTTAATTGTTCAAAGGCTTCCTTCTTCTCTTTTTATTTGTTATTGTACGTCTGAAATGGATACAAAAGTTTTATATTTATACTCCTTTCTTTCTTCAGTTTGTTGTTGCTGCTTAAGTTTAACATCAGTTTTAGTTTTGTACCTGAGTGTCTTCATTTTGCAAAATGCTAAATTGCCAAAAATCAAAGTCTTTGTTCTAAACCAGAAGTCACAGTTGGATAGATCAGGTAGTTAATTTTATTCTTTATTTAGCTTATTTATTTATTAAGTTTGTGGGAGGGAGGTTAATAACCTAGTTCTTTTTTTACTGCTTCTGTTTCATTTTCATGTGAAGAGGCTGATAAAATCTTTGTTCATGACCATGTGAGTCTGCCACATAGGCAGGGCAAGAACTGTAGGTGGTCATCTGAGCAGAGAGCCAAAAAAGAAGCCCTTGGCTCTGTGAGCCCTCAAAGTAGGGGGGGAGCTACTACCTGTGCCAGGGTCAGGATAGAGTGTCTTGAAATCCAGATGCAGAAGGAAGATGCTCTGATCTCTGTGCTTTAACATTGCACTTATTGTTATGATCTTTAATGTTATTTGAAAAGAGAGAATTCAGTTTCAAGAGCTGAAAATAGATCTCTTTGGTGGGACCTTAGCTAGGAATGGGAAAGAGTTAATTTCTTTTTCACTGGCATAAGGTTGTATAAATTTTCACTTGTTTAAACAAGGGATTTAATCATTATTTCTTGTAAAACTGAAAACAATTGTAGAACTAAAACAATTTATTGAGTTTCAGAATTAAAATAAGACTATATGGCTTTTTTAGTATTTAATGCTAAGATAGGAAAAGTGATTTTTGATTTCTTCAGTTAGTCTGTAAATTTTGTGATGCAAGGTAACCAGAAAAGCTTAGGTTAAGTAAGGAATTTTTTTTCCTGCCATGTTCTGAAATTGCTATTAGTTTTAAACCAGGCCTAATTAATTCTTAGTGTAAGTCCACATAACTGAGTGGTGTCAGTGTTTTAGAAACATTTTCTGAGGTGATCTGTAAGACAGAAAATTGAAAGTTTACAGAAAAGTCAGACTGAGGACAAAGCTACAGAAATATGCCTTGGCTGATATCCAGGCCACACGGTCTTTGCAAAGGGAAAGAGAAGTAAGTGCTTTGCTTTGCTTGTTAAAAGCTAGAGAAATGGCAGGTAAAGATGTCCTAAAAGTATGGGTTCTGTAGTTTTTCAGCAGGCTCTCTTATAGAATTAAGACGTTAAAGAGGACTACTCATGGTGCTTGTTATGAATTAAGCACTGAATATGTAAGGAAAACAAACAAACAAGCAGGCAAACAAAAAACTGGAGTGAATGACAGTTTCTCCAAATAGAAGGAGGTTGGTAACAGACCATACCAGAGATCTGCATTAAGACCATATTACTTTTGTTTGGAAGCAAAACTTTTTACCCATTTAGTCTAAAAATAGGCTAAAATGAGATGGAAATAACTCTGTTAGAAATCAAACATGAAATATCTTACCCTGTTACGATAGGACAGAGATGACTAATAAGAATTCTGAGGTAGAATACAGTATGTGCTCTGTTTTGTGGTTGTATTGCCTTCACAAATGTATTAAGTACCATTTAATTCTGTGCAATTGGTCATATTCTTTTAGGATTGTCATATCAACTTCTCACTTCCAAAACATTTATCACTGGCAACTAAAATACTAATATGTCTTCCTGGCTTCCTCTGATGGATGATTAGCCAACAGTCTCACCTTCACAGCCTAACCCTTTCCTGCCTTCTCCTTGCTGCTGTAGCAGATGTCATCTCTCTGCTGTCATTTTGGCTATACCTGAACATCTGTCAGGTTTCTCTGTATCTTCGTCCCTAGATCACACCTCCTTTTTAAATAGCTCACTCTGTACCAGGATAGAATACTCTTTGTCTACTCACAAAACTAAAGTTCTCATTCATGTTATGGTTGTCTCTTTTCTTTTTTCTGGTCTTGTCAAATTCAGTCTTGCCCTTGTCACACGTGCCTACAAGGCTGCTGTAAAAATTGCTTTTTGTGCACATCTGAAATTGTTAGCTTTCTATGTGCTTCTGTATACTCTCATTTCTCTGTCACATCAAACCTAAGATGCTTACTCTCAAATCAAACACTTTCTACTGCTGCCATCTAACCTATGGCATCAGCTTTTCTTTCACTGTGACTTAGAATTAGGTGCAGGCCGCTGTCTGCCCTCACTGTTGGCAAAAGTTCCACAAAATGAGTCTTCTTTCAATCCCTCCTTGAAGCTCTTGTCTAGGCTTCTCAAGACCTAGGATGCAGTCATGCAATAATTTAGCCTTATTATTTTGACTAGTAATGGTTCCACTGTTTTCTTGTCCTCTGTCTAACTCTGTCTTTTTATGTCTCTTTTATATGTAGGTGTAGGCTGCCTGAGGCCAGTGACCAACTTGTTCTGCATCTGCACAGAACCTCAGAGAACAGAGTAACCTCAACCATAGCAGTCATACCATCAATGCATACATAATATTCATCTTGCATATTTTTTTTTTAATAACGGACATCTATTTGGATTAACCACATCATGGAAGTACCTTCCCAGTCCTTCTGTACACATGCCTTTTATTTAATTTCACAGATATTATATCAAATTCCCTGCCATGACAGCCAAAAGGACATCACAGTGAAGGACTGTTTCAGTGTCTAAGAGAGAGTGCACAAAAAGAAAGTAAAACATTGACAAAAGATAGAAATGGCTCTTGTATGCTTCCTTCAATGGTGCTGCAATAGAGACTGTTAATATGATTAGTATTGGCAATATAAACAGCATTCTTTTCTGGAAAATGGTAAAGAAAATGAAGTATAAAAATACCTAGTGTATTTATTAACTCATCTGAAATAGTGAATACCCAGTGATTGCCAACCTGGATTAAAGTTTATATCTTATTGAAGAACTCAAATATTGTTTCACTTGGCAGGCAAGGGTCTAAGTAAACAGGATTTCCCTGAAGGTAGCAAGAAACGTTGATGCAATGTGGTTATTTATTAGCTTTGGTTTTCCTTTTAGGGAGATGGGCAAATAATGCCCTTGATGGGCAAATAATGCCCTAGTGCTTAGAATTTAAATGGGTCAAACTATTTGTACTGCTTAGACTCTGCCCAATGTCTTTATAAGTTCCTAGAGATAAGCTTCTCTACAGACATAATTTTGAGAAGTCCTTTATCCTCCTCTGGTACTTTGTGCCAATTTGAGCACTTTTGAAAATCAAGCTATTCATTTAGGTTTTGCAGTAAAACTACTCAGAACCATTTCTTTGCAGAAGATATTCCTCATTTAAACTCAAAGCTTTCCCAGAGAATTTCCAATCTGCTTGCAGATCTGAGATCTGCCCAATTTTGATTGAATTTTTTTCTTGAAATGTCCAATATTGATGGTCTAGTCACTGCAAGTGCAGTATCTAAATATCCATCTAACATCTTAAATCCAAATCCAAATATTTTGACTGAGAATCTCTCATAAGTTTTTGGTTTTATAACATAAAATAAAAGCAAATTTTGTAATCCTGGAATGCAGTAAAGGGATGGTTGTCCTCTGGATGGATTTATTCACATCCCTAACTTAAACTGGTGATTTGAAAAACATAAATAGGTCTTTGTTCTCAGTTTAAAGAAATAGCAATTTAAAACTAATTTGTCCTTTTCTTAAAAAGAAACTTCCCTGGGAAAAAAAAATACTGATAGTGAGATGTTGGTCCCACTGATGAAATATGCTTTCCATTTGACTAGGGGGAATTAGTTTTGATAGTGACGCACACCACTCTTACTTTAACAATGCCCAGCAGACACAGGTATCACATCTATACTTCTGGTCTATCTGCAATACTCCTGGCAAATAGTTACCAGCTAGAATTTGCTCACAGGTCCTGACAGCATCAGTATACCTTATCTACCAAGACATATGGCTCTTTGTTGCACACCTTGCATATAGAAGTAATGCAAACCAAATGAAGGCCTGCCTTGACTGTGCCTTTACAAAATTTTCCTTAGTGGTCTTCTCTGACATACTATATGTTTTAACTGGCTATAGAAAATGGGACATCTCTTACCCAATATTTATTTTCTTTATTTGTCTGTGTGAATGTGAAAGTCTTAGGAACATTTTTTCAGTGTTGATTATTTGGCACCAATCTAGGCTTTGTTTTCCCACTGATATTTTTACCAATGTGTGAACTAAGGCACCTAATGTTGTAACTTTTATATTTTTCAAGGTTTTCAGGCATTGCCATTGCTCTTATGTAAGCTTTACAAAATTATAGACTCTTCAAAATCAGTGCCAAAATTCCTATCGTCCACCATTTTAAATACAGCAAGTGGGATTAAGGCTACTCCAGTGATACAGCAAATCCTATTAAAGTCATTTAGATTAGACTTTTAATGTTACTTAGGTTCCTAATTCTCCTTTTATCCGAGTTAAGATGAGGTGCATAAATAAATTTACCGCTCTGGGGCTTAAGAACTTTTGAAAATCCCACCCACCAACATACAATCTACAGTTTTTCATATGACTTAGAGATCTGATTTCTCAAGGAAATAAATGTGGTCATGTTGCCTGCCTCTCTCTGCCAGTCAGTCTCTGACCTATCTCTCTGTCTTATAACTTTTGAACCTGAGACCTAATGTTGACTACATTTGACAGAAAGGCAAGAGCCCAAAGGTATTAAGTCATTACAAAGCATAATGATTGGAGAAAGGCAAGCTGCAGCATAATCTCAGCTGTCCTCACTTCTCTCTCGTCTGCACAGGCTCACAGGTCAGCACACGTGTTGGTCACAGCCAGCACAGCACCACTGTCTCTGTCAGGCAGAGGATCTTAGGTCCAGGACCAATCCGCACAGAGAAGGCAGCAGACACTACTCTGATGAGGATGGTGAGGGAACTTGAAACATTTGTCCGCTGGAAACTGGGCCACGTTGATTTCATCATCTAAAACTTGTCACTTGCTAACTTGCAGTAGCCAACAGTGAACAGTAACTTCTCAACACGGCTGGAAAAATGCTATGGAAAATGACGCATTTCCTCTGAAATGGCATCAACAGATTTTATTTAAAAGTAATTGTTCTCTGGACCTTCACAACTTTGCTGTCTTGCAAAGAGCAAAAAATTTTGACATGTCCCAGTAGCAGCAGCTGTACTGAAGAACTGACATTGGTGCCTACTCTATAGAAGGTTCTCCGATCTAGATTGGCTCTGTGACATGCCACCAGTAGGAGATGCACTATCATCCAGTCGTGGTTCACAATGGATATTACTTCTCATCCCCCAGGTTAACTCATCCTGATCCCAGGCAGCAGGACATCTACCGTGTCAGGACAAATGGAGATCTATCTGCGGGCTGTGGCTCGAACTTGACTTCTCACACTTGAGCTCTTTTGTAAATGAAATACTGATGCCCAGGCCCATGAAGCTTTATGTCATCAAGGCAGTAGACAATATTCTTACATGCTCAATTAAAAATACATTAGGAAACTCAATAGAGGTGATTGACCTTCAGCTGGAAACAGAGAAGCTGGTGTTAAATGAAATTGAGTAGTCAATGGCTCATCTTAGAAATTTGTGTTGAGACAGTACCCATTGGAGGCAGTACAAAACAGTTTTTAAACCAGTGTGTGGAACAAAAATTAAGATAGAAGAGTAGCTATTTTCTCACCTACTCAAAAGAATATTTGTAAAGAGTATTCATAAGGAGTTTAAGCCAGTGATGTGTCTGTCTGGACTCAAACAGTTTATTTTCCTGTAAAGACACAGTGTTTATTGATACCTGATTTTTTTTTGAGCATCTAAATCATGACAAGGTAAATTTTTTTATTTGCTTGGAGTAAAAGGCAGTGCAATACATTCTTCTCCACCTTGCAAACCTGTTTAGCAGTAGGGATGCATTCTGATAAATACCATGTACCACTGATGGTACATGAGTACATGAAAAGATGTGAGGGCTAAAGTTTTTATTTAAGTTCAGGTATAATGTAAATAATGCATAGATTGTGCACAGCAGTTTGTTTCAGGAGCTCAATTCTAGTCATAGCACCTATATTTTGGCAGTCCAAAACTTGTCTAGGTGAGAAGATGGACATTGTTTCGAACAGAATGGTGGTTTGGTCACATCTAATTGACTTGATGTATCTTAGAATTGCTCGTTAAAATATCTACTAACAGAATTGATTAACAGCATTATTCAAAAAATAAATAAGTATGTTTTACAACATAAACATATTTTCAAAAAAAATTACAATACCACATTTTCTTCATTATAATCTTAGATATGGCTAGTTGTCTCTTTATTGTAAAAATTGATCTGTACAGTCATATTCTTGTATAGTATTCCAACAATTTCAGTAGTAGCAGACCTCAGCTTAACACATATCTCAGTGTTTTCCAGAAATAAAAGCTTCTCTTTTCCATATAACTTAGGAAGAATAACTGTGTTGCATGTCTCTCATTCTTTTACAATGTAATATGCTGGATTCCCTCCTATCTAGAAAGAGAATGACAGCTGCATAAATTCATCAGGACAGATGATCTATTTAAAGCATAAGTGAAATAAAAACCTAAATCCTAATAAAATATAAGATCCAAAGAAAAGTTTGCATTTGTCTTGCTGAGGTGTATAGAATTATAATAGTCACAAAAATAAAAGAAGAGGAAAATGTGTCAGCTTATCTGGTATGGAAGTGAAAGATAACTATTTATGGTTAGTTTTTATATTTCTGCATGCACACGTGTTCATGGTGCATCTGGATATTCTTTTTTTTTTTTAATTTTGCAGGTGCCCTTTTCAATATTAAGTTTTTATTTACTGGCTTCAGCTTGCAAATGGTTTTACCAGTGTCTCAGTCTATGTTATTCTCACTTGAAAAGCATGCGGTAGGTTTGACTCTGCTTTACTCAGAATCTTTAAACTTCCAGATTTCTGGAAGGTGAGTTTCACAACCTCCACTGAACAAAGTTTACCATATACTAATTAATTCCCTGGAAATAGATTTTAGTAGTCATTGTAGTGCCACCTTATTTGCCAAACATATTTTTTTTCTTTTTTTTGTTATATTTTAGTGCAGAATTCTGGTGCAGGACTCCAAGATAGCCACATATTAAGAGCACAGAGTCAACATCTAACTCCCTGGCAGGTAAAACTTCATTTAAAGTCATCTTCCCAGGCAAAAATTTGAGGACACTGGACACTGCTTCTGTGCCAGGGCTTGCATTTATTACTCTGTGTATCCTGGTGTGTAGCCTAAACAGGAATAAAAATACAACAGGATGAACTAGCTGCAGAGTGTGATCAAATTCAGTACAAGGCAGCAAAGAACCACACCTTGAAACAACACACTTGGTTTGAGTACTTGGCATTAAAGGCAAAGAGGAACTTGCTACAGCAAATCATAACCCATAGACTGCTACCTTGCAGGCAGAAACCATATGCTGGAATGCATGCAGGAAAGAGAAGGCATGTGAATGCACAAATTTTGCTCGCAGCATTTCTGTGAGCCCCAGCAACCTGAGTTAGCATCTTTTACCATCAGTATGCTTATACAGTGAAAATGTTGATAAGCTGCAAAAGCAGCAAAAAATTGTGAGCAGAGGTCCCAAGGAGGGACACTGTTGCCAGCCAGACCAAACACACTGT